CTTTTGGATATACCAGCAATTCACTAGAATGACTAGTCTGTTTCGCTCTCTAATATCCCTGGTTATTCCTATATTCATCGTCTGGCGAGGGTGGGGGAGAGAGTCTGTCTTCGTTAGGGGGACGATTTTCCCTCGCGGGGGGACTGCTTTCGGCGGTACAAGCCGGTTACCCCCGTAATGAAAATCCTTTCGATATCATAAAAACAAGATTTGCCTTGGAATCCCCAAGTCCACGATGCTCTTCACATTATAGAGAGATGACATTCTCCTTCAGAGCACTCCCACCGAGTCATATAGCCTTGATATTGAGGCTTGATATTGGGGGTTGATCATGCAATATGACTGCGTGTGTCATGGGCTAAAGCGTTACGTCAATCATGTTTTTCAATGTCATATAATGTTCCATGCTTTACATACATACGGGTAATAATGTGGTATTAGTAGTTTCTATTCCCAAGAGTTGAAATGGTATATTTTAGTTATAGAGATATAGTGTGTATTGTGTAAGATGATGTAAATGTTTTATCATTATCTTTAATCGAGAAGAAAAGTGGCTGCGTGTGTCATGGGCTGAAGCGTAACGTCAATCATGTATTTTAATGTCATATAATGTTCCATGACCTGGTTCCATGCTTTACATACATACGGGTATGTGGTGTTAGTAGTTTCTATTCCCACGAGTTGAAATGGTAACATGATAACTATAGGGTTGTGGTGTGTATTGAATAAGATGGTATCATTATCTTTAATCGAGAAGAAAAATGGCTCCGTGTGTCATGGGCTAGAACGATACGCCAATCATCTATTTCAATGTCATAATGTTCCATGCTTTACATACATACGGGTATGTGTTGAACTGGTAATAGTAGTTTCTAGTCCCACGAGTTGGATCGGTAATATGATAGTATGTAAGATGTTGTTGATGTTTTATCGATATTCGATAAGAAAAGTGGAAGGAAATTAGAAATTAGAAAATGGGCAATAATAATTGTTTCAAAGAGTCATACCTGCACGTCACTCACATTATGTTTATGCTATGCAGTATTATATGTATTCATGTATTACTGGTTTTTATAAATAAACATTTGGATTGTAAAATATGGTCAAAAGTGATCTCAACTATAACTGATAAGAAAAGAGGAAAAAGATGTCTTTCTTATGAGTTGCATACTTTATATTCTTTATTCATATACGGGAAAGGGGAGGGGTTGGGTCATTATGCACGTGTATCATAAAGTTGTCGTTATTCACCATATTATGCATACATACGGGTGTCAGGTATTAGTGGTTCTATTACATGCTAGTTGGAATGGCATGATACTCTCTAAAAAAAATCGAGTGATCACGGACGTCACTCCTCTGGAGAGTGAAAATGTAGTGAAAATAGAATGAACATTCACTCTTTTCTTCTTAGAGAGCACTCTAAAATCAATCGATTTTCACTCCTAAACAAGTGATCACGGACGTCACTCCCAAGAAAGTGAAAATAGAGTGAAAATTCACTCTCTTTTTTAAAGAGAGTATGGTATACAATAATATTACTATATCAATATAATAACTGAGAAGAAAAGTGATCAAAGAAATATGATCGCATATATTGTGTCTGAAACCAAAACGTCAATTATTAGTATTCTACTTTGCATATATGCTGGTCGGTGACTCGGTGGTAAGCACATTACTGGTTTGGGAAAGCATTATAATACGTAGATTTTTGTCTGGTGAAATATAATCTTCACACGATCTAAAACTAGAAGAGAAATTCTGTCTTTTATTTATGTCTAGCTAAGTGATTGTTATGTTTTACGTTACTGTCTATAGAGAGCGAATGTTATATACATGTCATATTATGTAATATGCGGCAATATAGTTAATGCAATAACTATAATATATGTAATAACCAATTAACCATCAAGGCGTCAAAAATGCTCTCTGTCTCTATATCCACCTCTTTCTGTTAACTACTTTCGTCACGTTTCTACCCCTATTATTACATTACACCAATGTTCATTGGAGTAGGAAGTCAAGGCTAGACATATAAAGAAACAGTGAAGTGGGATGAAAGCCAAAATAAATCATTGATTGTCTCTGAACAATACTAGCTATTGACGAAGAGTATTGACAAAGAAACCATGAAAGAGAGCGGAGAGGGGAAGAGATAATAGAGGGAGAGAGAGAGAGAGAGAGATGAATGTATATATATATATATATATAGGTATCGAGCGGGAAGAAATAGAGGGAGAGAGAGAGAGAGAGAGAGGGGAGAAAAAGAGGAAATTATTAAGGAAAGGAAAGGAAGAGAAAAGGAAAGAAAGAAAGAAGTAGTGAGAGGGGGTTAAGGAGAGAGAGGCGATAGAGAAAGAGAGAGAGAGAGAGAGAGATAGACAGATATGAAGAGAGAGAGAGAGCGATGTACGAGAACTAGTGCACGAGATAACCAATATTTACTCTTCATTTTTTTGTTTTAGTCGACTAAACTTATTCTTCTGCATTAATTTTGTAAATTATTATTTTGCGGAAATACATCTTCACGGTATGTTCTTTTCGAAGCAACCTTGCGTGCGAGGAGCATGTACAATGTAAATACACATGACCTTGACGGGAAGGAGATCTATTGTATCGTATTTTATAGGTCGAACATGCACAGGTAGTATTATGATAGCTGAATCATTTTGAACTTTATACATGTATCATGGGAACCATATTCGGCACGGGTATACTCCTATTTATTCAATTTATTCAACCACAATTTGTATTGGGAATTATGCATGTACATGAACTTGAACTTTATGAAGTCAATTGCTAACGTATAAAGCTACAGATTAAGAGAATGGTATTACAAATCAATTATAATCATTTACAACAATTAAGGAATACAATACTGGAGAAACTTTTCGTTTCTTTTTATTGATATTAATATGTGCCTTGGCTTGTGGGAACGTGGTGGACGAAATTGTAGCCAGTAACGCCTTAGCCCGTATTCATGTCATGACGGCATGATGAAGAAGACGAGATGATTTGGGCTGACATTAATACTTCAACATAATGTAATGAATCTTTAATAATCAATGTTTATACCTCGAGTTGAAACAACAACAACACGCGTGTTTAGTAGCTCCAAAATATCTTGTAATTATTTTAAGCCAAGTAATTATGTCATTGCCATTAATCATACTTCCACCATTGGGGGAGTATTATCTCGTTCTTTATTCGCTACTATGTTTCGAATCAGTTTATTACGTAACTGCAATTAATTGGCCATTTAAAGCAAGGGGCACGGATGGCAATAATTTTATTATCCAGCTGTCGGCATCAATACACCTGTGTATCGAAGCCAATTTAAGGGTTTTGTTCATGTTGACAGTTCCCATTAATATCAATAAATAAATATATTAGCCATGGTATAGCTTGATAGGCGTATTTGATGCGAGGAGGGGGCTGGGGGATTCCCCCCCCCCCCTTCGAATGATTCAGAAACTACCAGTATTCGGACAACTGTCGTCTCAGGCTGCAAGGTCGTCTCCGTGCAATATTGATATCTTACGTAATACACTTTATTCACTATAACTTACATTAAAAGGCTATTAATTAATACAATAATGTACCAACTGACACCGTGTATGTCACTGTATATAGTTTCAAAATTTGAGAACTTTAAAAGTTGATATTTAGGCAAGAGTCGTTGGGCAGCACCTCCCCCCCCCCCCCCCCATCCCCGAGAAAATCGTGTCCATACCCCTATTTTACTCTTAAGTAAAAACCATTATTTTTATTTGAAAAACTAAAGTAATTCAACTAAAATAAGTGAAAGTTTTAAATAACAAAGTGTCTGCGCTTTTGAATAAAGATCTATAATAATATCAAGACTTTGATAGTCTATCTTCCAGACAGAGTATTTAATATTTCTGCTCCAAATGGAGCTGCGTTTATTCCCTGCATGGACGCCAGGCTCACATGCAGGGGCGTATCCAACTTGGGATAGAGTCGCTGTACGCCCCTCCCTTTTACAGGCCCAATAAGAAAAAATCCCCCAAAATTGTTTAACATAACTATAATAAGGTTGCCTGGCATTGCAGGAGAAATATGCGAAAGTTATTTCAAAATGCACTTGCCCAGCATGATTACTGCAGGGTTATTTCATATTTCGTTTTTATGTTCATAAACATAGCACTTGATAGACTACTCGTCAATATCCCAACATGCTGTATACGTGGGGGAGTTTGGTGAAAACATCATCCCAACATGGGGCCATCGCTATTATATCAACATTTCAAGTAAAATGTACTTCAGTCAAACAGCTGACTTGTATAGGCCTACATGGTGATAATTTCTGGCAAGTTTTCAAAAAAAGATAGTAATTCCATATTTCAATTAGGCCTAACTCTTCTCCTCATAATATATAGAAACATCTCGCGAATCCATTTATTGAAAATCGTATTCGTATTTGTGAATCAAGTAACCAATATCAATTTCCTTTCTTTTTACATAATTACGATTCATACATCGGATGATAATATTGTTTCTATTTGTTTTGCTTTTAAAATGGGTGAATATTCCTATGGTATAATATTATTACGCCCTGATATTCTAACTTTGACGTTGCTTCTTCTTCTTCTTCAGTAGCAGTACAGGCCACCGTCAGGTGTATTGTCGTACTGTTGAGGTGCAGTTTCTTAAACAGTAATACACACACGTCCCTGTATACAAAAATATACCTTCTTTGTAACTGGCATTTCACTTTGTATATAGGCGTTCCTTATGTCAGGGTAAATGATGATTTATTCTGTCACAGGGTCATTATTATACGAATCTGTTAGTGAAGATTTCATTTTCTGCATGTGCATATTAGGTACAGCCGTTTTCTTTTTAAATGTATTTGAATGTAGCTTTGCATGGAAGTACATGTAAGTGACAGGATGCGCAATATTGCAAAAACACAAAACAGAGTATACTTCACAAAATAAATTGATGATAATGTCAGAGATTGTTTACTTTTCACTTACCTTCAACGGGGAACGAGACTGATATTAATCCATTGACTTTCCTATCGGAGAAGATATTAGCTTGTTTAATCAATGCTTCCCGGAGTAAATCTCCATCACTTATCACAATCATCCTGGGGCCTGGCCAACCCAATCTAATCATATAAATGCCCCCATAAGTCCGGGCTAGTTCTGTCAGCGCCCCTGCCCCATGTTCCTTCCCCATTTTCACTAATGTTGGTAAATCGCCCAAAAGCGGCCATGCCTGAGGACCAGGCGGCAGCCGCTCCCTCCACCGGGCAAGCCCCCGGGTTAACAGCGACCATTTCCCGATATCCCCCGCGGATTTACCCTCACTCTCTTTCACCGTGGGCCTCTGGTTTCGGAGCATATAGGCAGCGAAAAGCATGAAAGTTGAGGAGAGGAGGACCGCTGAGGTGATAGAAGAAGAAAGCAGTGCCAAAGCGCTGCTACTCACAAGTTTTTCCAGCATATTCAAAGGTGTTGATTAACCGTTCTTGCTTTCCCGGTCCGTCCGAAACTATCTACCAATCGCAATACACGCTGGGTGTAATTTGATACGGAGTCATGTAAGAAAGAAGGGCCGTACAGAGAGCGGGCGAACCGTACGGGAGATAGCGAACGCAGTCGACTCAACGGGCGGTTGATGTTCCGTGTTATTCAAACGAATTAAAGAAGATAACTGATGGTGAGGCATCAAACCGGTTATGAATATAGAAACATATTTCTCCCAGTTTCCCTACGAGGGTATGGCTTGCATGAAAACTGTTCTCGCCTTTAGTCCTGTGTCTCACAAGGCTTTTGGAGAATATCAGAAAAACGAACGGTGCGTTTCCGCGCTAATTCATTTCAATAGTATTAGCGAAGCTCGGTGTGTACATACGGGGAGGTGCTGGCAAGCTTTCCCGCACCCACTCGCCTCTATCCCTTTCAGAATCACGCCTGGATGAGCCTCTACCCTTATGCTTCAATGAACATGTAAAGCGCTCCCCTCTCTTCAAAAACCCAGCTCACCCTTTCAATTTGCCTGTCATCATTTTTTTTTCTTCCCCGAGATGAAAATAGAAAAAGAGCCGCGTTGAACACCATGCAGCGAGAAGAGGGAATATAGTGAGGCCGCTTAGTAGTACAGCTTCAAGCCTTCATAATATAAGTCTTCAGGTCATAACTACATATTTTACCACCATACCCCCACCATAACAAACACAGGGATCTGGATCTAGCAAACATTTACAACAATACCATGTTTTTCTACAACAGCGGATAAATATATATTGGACCCAGCCCCCACCATTCAAACTCGTCCATTCAACAACACACGAAGCAATTGAAAAGAGAGAATTGTCCTTGTATAGGGGTCGCTAAGAGCAAACATGTATTTTATTTGTACACGTGTATTATGAACCCATGTTATCTGTGACTGCGGAGCGCCGTTGGCAAAGCCATCCATTTGCCTGTCGAGTAATGCCATATTGTATGTTATGACACTATCTCAAGATGGTTTATCTTTGAGTGCTTTATGACCATGAAGCAAAGTTACTTTAAATCATTACGTGATAACAGCGAGGGGCTCCTTAACCTGTTGACATGAGTCAATCACAATTAGTAGGTCCATGATCAAATTAACGAAAAGTCAGTCGCACTGTAGTCAATAATAATTGTAAGTGTTTAAGGATTAGTGCGTAAGAGTCATGTCGTTTTTAACTTAATTTCAATTTCAATTCTGTAATTCATTTACTTTGTGTACCTATTTGCTTTGATTATTGTTTAATGGGATAACCTAGATTATACTTTTGTTATCCCTACACTTCACCTGATTGTGCATGACCTTTTGTATAATCTTGTACACTTTTATGTTTTGTGGAAATAAATTCAATTAAAAAATCAAGTATAGGTATTGGTACATTGCGATTAAACGTTATGCCTTGCTTTCAGAAAAGAACACTTTATATACTAGTACTCGATCTCTTTCATTTATTGTTTTTTACACATTTTAATCCGCCTTCTTTATAGACGAATGTTTTCATAGAGAAATACCAAAATGAGCAAAAATATAGAATCAGGATAGCGGTTTTGATAAGGCTTACAATATTATAAGGCCAATTTCAAATTAAATTTAATTGATCACGTGTTTACAATGATTTCATGTTAGTTCCATTAATAAATGAATAACATATCAGCATTGCTTGACCAAGGAGCAATTATACTCTAATACATGTAAGTATGGCGAATTTTACCTAACAAATCTATCTATGATGTAACTGTTAGCCGTGTTGACCTGCATAATTTGCATCGAGAGAAAAAATCAGAAGAAATGAATTTATTTAATTGCCAATAGCAGCTAATCATTGGGAATTAATATGGCTTCATGTCTTCTTCTGTCTGTTTTGGTCGGCATGCTATTTGGTGACGTTTCCTTTCCCATAAGCCCATTCATTATATTACTGTGTATAACGTTTCATTACGTAATAACAAAATACCGCCTTTTTTTTTACCACGGACAGTTATAAGGATTTACGGGTTGTAAATCCAAGAATAAAAAACGCAGTGGTTTGACGTGGTTTGCTTCTGTTTTGATCTAGTTTGTTTGTCTGTTCGTTTGTCTGTTTTGCTTATTAATTTTGTTTTATTTCGTTGTCTGTTTGTTTGTTTGTTTTGGAGAGTCAGATGAGTATTGCGTGAGAATGAGGGAAAGAGAGAAAGAGAAAATATTATCTATATTATTTAGAGAGAGAGAGAGAGAGAGAGAGAGAGAGAGAGAGAGAGCAGAGAGAGCAGAGAGAGCAGAGAGAGAAAGGGGGTATACAGTCTACAATACTGCATGAGAGAGAGAGAGAGAACGAGAGAAAGAAAGATATAAATATAATTATGTACACATATATTATATAGAGAGAGATAGAGACAGAGAGAGACACAAGAAGAAGAAGAAGAAGAAGAAGAAAGAGAGAGAGAGAGAGAGAGAGAGAGAGAGAGAGAGGCAGATGGGGAACAGAGGAAGAGCGACTATTCATCGGATATGGGTCACAACATCAAATTAAGAGAGAATTAAATGTGAGTATAAAGGAGATTCAAAATAAAATATTGAATACGCGTACAAAAACAGACCAGAAAATATGTGGGCTTTCAAATAACACACTTGAGGAGCCTATAGTCCTGGTTGGATATAATATATAAGGTGATAATAATTAGTGTAAAAAAAGTTCAGCTGACCTCTTTTGGAAGTTTCAATTCCGTCTAAACCGGGAAATCAACATAAGGATGGAATTAATGCTTATGTGGCTATAATCAATGTTTGAATGACAAACATTGAATGAATTGGAACAACCATCTCACCACCTGTGATCACCTGACATTTTCTTCAGTTTAATACTCACAAATGGCCCTCTCTTAAAGGCACACTGTCCTACTTGTAGCTACTTGCTCCCTCTATATAGAAAACTTCCCCAATCAGTGCCTGTTGGTCCCTCATGATCCTCTTTTTCTTATGTTAAATGAGAGCTGAGTTAATGAGATAGCCACCTGTCACAGTGTCCTCGCTGGCTCGCTGGGTAGTCTAATATCTTCTAGCTGAAGTAGTAAAGCCTGCCTTTAAATTCGCCAAAGGGTTGCGAGTGAGTTTTATGTTATAGGGTTAGGGTTAGAGTTAGGTATAGTGTAAGCTCCAGGAGCATGTGTCGTATAACCAAGGAGATTTTTCCATTCATGTTTTTGTTGTTGACCAAAGTCAGTTTAACTTTAAAAAACATGGTCTCACGACTCCCCTCAACCCCCCCCCCTCGATAAATTGAACAAATTCGACAATAATCGCTCCGCAACTATTTCCCTCTCATAACCGGATTCCAAATTTTGACCCTGGCGATAAAACTAGAGCGAGCCCTAAACTCTCAAACCCCCCCCCCCCCCGAAAAAAGGAGAAAAATCGTGTTTGAAAAATGTTGACCTATAGAACACACTGCCCAGGTACCTTGGACTCTCGCGGTTTTCAAAACATCCCCCCCCCCTCTTCATCTCATACAGTGATCCGCCTTCGCTTTAAAGCTTATCTGTACTAATTTACAGGAGGGATTAGACTGCCCTGCAAGGTCACTTGACAGGTGGTTATCTCATCAACTCAGCTCTCAGTTAACATAAGCAAAAGAGGATCATGGGAGACCAATGGTCACCGATTAGGCATTGTTTGTTATATAGAGGGCGCAAGTAGCTACTAGTAGTGCAGTGGGCCTTTAATATACTCACTATCAATGACAACATTCAACGAGATTATGAAAATGTTTAACATAAGTCTCTGTCACACGCTATGTGGTATAATGAATAATAATTGGCATGAACGGGGGAAGGAAGAGAAAGCAAAACTGATTACATCCGTCTCAAAATGGGTCGAAAGCTTGTGCCAAGGATTTAACCAAATAGGCCTAGTATATGAATGGATATTTCCTATACTGTTTTAATAAGAATTTGTGTAAAATACTAAAAAGAGAGTTCATCTATGGGGGGAGGGAGTGGTAGTATTAGTGTAGTCAGCTTTGTCATTATTTGTCATTATATGTGTGTGGGGGCGGGGGGGGGCGGGGGCGATCAAATTGTAGACAAAATGCAAAATGTAAACATGTGTGCAAAGTGAAGTTGCCCTTCTTCTATCCAAAAAGTGAATCAATTTTGGGTCCTTTTGAGACGAGGGGAGGGGTTAGAATGAGGGATAGGTGGAAGGGAAGGAGACCAGTTGTTTCAACTATCATAATGGCTAATTATTTTCCGAGGGGGCTTGGGGCTGCATCCGAATAGCCCCTGTCGGAAACGCCAACCACATGAACATGGACACGACTTCAAACGTTTATATCACATGCAACACATCCTTCCCCTCTTTCCCAGTTCTCCCCAACCCTTTCCCCGATCAAAATATTATTATTTTCTGCACTTACCTCTCTCTCTCCTTTATTTCGAGTTTTCCAGATGTACGCGTAATTTAATAATGTCGTTGCATTCGCCTCCGCCTGGGCTGTCTGTACGAATGTTGCATAAAGGAAGATTGAATTATATTTCCATTTCAATCTTTGACATTGAGTGAGAGTGAAGGTGACCTTCAAAAGAAGAATGGCATTTAGAAAGAAAAAT